AAAAATAAGATATATTGTTGTGTAATGGAACGGAAATTGTTCATTATTGCCTTGCAGCATTTTTTTATATGCGCATGCGTAATAAACATTGCGTTATTTTTTGTTGCGCATACGTGACTCGGGCAGGGTCACATGCACCTATGTAGTCTTCGTCTTTTCCGGTTTTTCGCTATTGGCTGCTTGAGCCCAGCACTTCCGGGCGATGAGCGACGGTTTCCAAATCTAGAGAACAGAGCGATCGCGCGAAAACGAGCACGCGACACGTCGCGCGAACGCCCTGTTTCGTCGCTCATAGCGTCGCTCGTCGCTGTCGCGTGCATTTTCGCGCTTATGGAGTTTGGGCTTAACTCATCGGCGCGAAATGCAGCATGTAGCTTTTCGCGCCGGTTGCCATCGGGCCGCACCAACGGACGCTGGTCGCGCCTGGCGTCAGACGTAGCGTCACTGTGCCCAGCTTGCGCGCACGTCAACGCTAAATTGGAGTATATTGGGCCCTTCATGATGCGCTCGCGGTCGTTTTGCTAGCTATATACCAACTTTGGTGTTACCGGATGCCAACAGATGACGAAATATATGACTGGTGCAAACATGATAATCCTGACACGCGTTTTATGTAAGAACATGACAACATAGCACACTCGTAGCGTGCTCGCGGCCGTTTCACTAGCTCCACATATACTAAATTCGGTATCACGTGACGTCAATAGATGACGAAGCAAAATGACACGTCCAAACATGATAGTCGTGACACGGAAGTCATGTACGGCATCATTTACCTCCACCTCGTAACGTTGTGCTGATGCTAAAGTAAATATATCAACATTTCTCATTCGTGATTCGCACATCATCAATGCCCACTGTACGTGGGATCTGCCAATTACTTGGGTTTGTTAATCTTTGTATTTGCACCTGAATAACTGGGCGAACAGTGCTATGGTGGATGACACGTATATGGAAGTGGTTGGGTTGGCGCATACGATGTTTCATGGCTTTAATATATGACGTCGCAAATACGAAACAAGAAAACATCGGCTTAATAGCCCAAGATGGTGGCGTCCATATGTCTTGGGTAAAATAGTGCATATACCAAGACAGCGACAGTAGGGAGTTTCAGAATTGGGGGCCCAAGACACTGGGTCTCCAAGCTGTGCTGCGTACGTGGCTCTTACGTTCGAAGGACAAGCAGAGTTTGGGAATGGGGTGACACGCAGATTGAGACACGACGCGCAGGCCGTAAGAAAGTGCGCGTGTGCCACCTCACGTTTAGTACTTGGAATGTCTGCTGGATGGCGGTACTTCTATATGCTGAATATATAATGAAAATATGCTATAGATGGCAGTACTTAGAGTGTTCACTAGATGGACGGACGGACAGATGCACGGACGGACGCACAAATGGATGGACAGACGGACGGTCGCACAGACAGACGCACGGACGGACGCTTCACCCCACTCATCATTATGCACTCTGTGGATATTCTGTGATTTTACTTGGTAAGCATCACATTCAAGGCAAATTTTATTGGAGAATAAGTCACTAATACTCGTCTCTGTAAGTTATTTCATGAGAAACAACTATCTTTTTATTCATAGTTAACGTGTGCCGGTTTCCTCTGCAATTGAAAAGGGTGCGCGGGTGCCGCTCCTCTATAGTCGGGCCGTAGAGGTGGCTACCTACTTATACGACGACTACTACATACATCGTGGACGCACGACCCACGGCTTAGGGAGTTTCGCCTCCAAAAGTGGTTAATGAATTTATAATATAAAGAGTACTTGGTACTCAACTATGGGAGAGCATAACGCCGTCCCGTGGGCCGCACACTTGTGTGTTCAGAAGAAGTGAGTAACGATTTAGACTACTCGGTTCTCTACTATGGGAGAGCACTGAGCCGTCCCTAGTGTGTTTAGAAAAAGTGGTTAACGATTTAGAGTACTTGGTACTCTACTATGGGAGAGCATAATGCCGTCCCGTGTAGCCACCTGCCGTTGGTTTGACTTTCTCAGAACGTCGAACAGTCAAAAGGGCCGACGTTCCGCCAGCAATCGTGTACACAAGAATTATTTAGTGCATATAGCAAGGTATGGTAATCAGCTTTGATCAATCAGCACTGTAATGTAGAGTCATGGAAGTACTTTCCCTGCACATACGTGGAACACGCTATACTCCGAGCAATGCACGTACTTGCTATTCCAGTATCTCTAAGGCAAGTACATATGAATGACAAATTTTCCCATTTGTGGTCGGTATCACGTCAGCCAGCCGATAAAACACCGTCCAGTCAAGGCAGGCCCAGGTGACCAACCATCCCAGACTCCGTGAGACTGTCCCGGCTTTTCTTTTTTGCTTTTTTGTTTGTTTTTTTTGTTTTCAGCGTCCCGAGACCCGTGCCGTCCCTATCGTGACGGCTATATATCCCGGATTTATTTCCGACCATTCAGTTAGAAAATTATATGTGATTCGACGCACGCCCAGCAACGCGGCGATCATTGTCTTTTTGGGCGTACGTCAAATATACCTTCCACCCCACGACAACCTCTCTGACGAGTTTGAAGTCCTCCACACTACAATGCCAGTTTTTGGCACAAAACCAACCTTTTAAGTAAGCAGAGTTTTTCCAGACTTAAGGCGCATCCAACCTCCTCCAGATTGTAGCATTTTTTTTTCTTATCCCGTTAACAACGTCCATATAGTAAGAGTATTCTCGGTTATATAGAGTTTGCGGAGATCTACTGGTAAAAAAAAAATTCTGAACTTCCGCGAGAAGCGCGGCAACTTTTACGAGTACGTTTTCCAGCAGGAAGTATTAGGAGCACCTTGCAAACAGGTGAATCCCCGCTACGAGATTAATTTGATCGAATATTATGTGTGATTTAACGTCCCAAAACCACCATATGATTATGAGAGACGCCGTAGTGGAGGGCTCCTGAAATTTCAACCACCTGGGGTTCTTTAACGTGCGCCCAAATCTGAGCACACGAGCCTACAACATTTCCGCCTCCATAGGAAATGCAGCCGCCGCAGCTGGGATTCGATCCCGCGACCTGCGGGCCAGCAGCCGAGTACCTTAGCCACTAGACCACCGCGGCGGGGCTTACCGCTACGAGAGGCCGCAACTATAAGGAAACATTAATTTTGCCCGGAATCAATATACCCCAAAAAGAAATCTCATTTCGCTAGCTCCTTATGTTATTTTGCGCCTCCCCCCCCCCCCCCCCCCCATCTGAGCTGATAGTTCTTGTCCAGTGTACCATATGAGCGTTAAGCTCAGCCCGAATCTCATTCTACCACCGCATGGTATGCACATAAGGGAAGAAAACATTTTTAACAGAACGTGACAGATATATAAAATTTCAGTATGGAGCAGTCATTCATCTGCCCTTGGGGGTCACGGGCAAGCTAGCGCTGCCGTTCCAAACGTACGGCCTGCTCTGCGCGCCCACAGGAGCTAGGCGTATGGAAACTTAATTTGGGATGCGGTGACTCGCCGTCCTTACGTACTTTTTTTCCTCCTCACTATCTTCTCTCTTCCTAACCCTTCGCTGTACTATAATACACATATAGTGTACACGACTGTGCTATACATGTGTACACGTGTGTCCTGTGTGACGTCAACATGGCTATGCTACATGTGCTTTAACCTCCCCTCTCACCCCTCACTTACCACCATATGATTATGAGAGACGCCGTAGTGGAGGCCTCCGGAAATTCAGACCACCTGGGGTTCTTTGACGCGCACCCAAACCTCTCGAATTTTCGCCTCCATCCAAAATGGAGTCACCGCAGCCCCTTACTTCCTGGCTCACGCCCTCCTATATATTATTATCATATGAATGAAGGAAATAAGCTTCATGGCGAGGGTCCCGTTTTGGCAGACTGATGCCTTCAGGTAGTATACGGGGAATTATTGGTCAACTGCCAGTTTGTAATAAGGCGAAAAAGCCACGTAAGTCTTTAATTTACACTCTTACATGCAACTTTGCAACAGCGCCGGAACCATTGATGCAGCCCATGCAAAACTGGCGGACTTGCTGAACGGTGTTTTAAAATAAAAGCCACAAGGCAACCTTTGAAAATACAAAAACAAGAGCGTTAAGAACTAGAACTAGAGTTCACTATACTTGTGGCGTTTCACGCGCGTCATTTCGGCACCATTCATTCCGCCAGCAGTTCATGTTTTATATCATAAAAAACAATTAAGCTTTCTTTCTGTCGGTCGACTATTCCACGCACGATGGATTAATATGTAGGGTTTAACGTCCCAAAACTACCAAATGATTATGAGAGACGCCATGTGAAGGAGGGCTCTGGAAATATCAACCTACTAGGGTTGTTCACGTGCACCCAAATATGAGCGCACGGGCCTACAGCATTTTCGCCTCCATTTATTATGAAACCGCCGCAGCCTGGATTCAATCCCGCGATCTGCGGGTCAGCAGCCATGTGCCTTAGCTGCTAGACCACCGCGGTGGGGCAATTCCGCATACGAGGAATATTAGTTGTATTTTCTCTTGTGCCCTAGCTGCGTTGCCATGCGGTGGCGTGCTCTAATATTGTTTCACATGTCTGTGGAGTGCGATCAACTGATCTGACTGTTAACTTTGTTTTGCGAGTTTTCGACAGCGCAAGCTATAAGTTCGAGATCCTGGTTGGCTCAAAGATGCTGTCTGCGTTCAACACTTGGCGATGGCATTGCCCACGTGAAATAAATAAGTTGCGAGGAGAGTAGTGCAGGCAAGAAAGAAACCACTTTCAAGCCCCTGAACTCGGAGTGGTTTGTCGGCAGCATTTAGATATCAGTTCTCAGTTGCTCTATTACAGAAATGAGTAACACAGATATGCATGCTCTTTTTCTTTCGTTCTTGCGTATGCGTTTATAGCGGGGAAGGCTGGGTTCCGAGCATTTCCCCGAAGAGCGGAAGCGAAAACTGAAACTTGCAGTTGTGTCTCTCCTCTCCCACTGATATCGACACCACGCTATGGCCGCCCCTAGGAAAAAAATGCAAGCTAGTGTTGCGCGCTTTAAACGTTTAAATTAGCCTCGCGATAAAGCTAAACTGCGGCGTAGATAGCGAAATCACGTAAGGCAACTTACGCCAAGGCTCCCTGAAGGTACGTGTAGAGATGACAAGGTGATCTAGCGCTCCAAACGATCGAAGCGTAGAAAGAATGCCGTAAGTAACTTGAGACAGGAACTTCGAAGTGAGTACAGCAGTATAAACAACTTGTAAAACTTCGTCATCTCATCTCTCTTTCGTCTGTCGCGCAATGTTCTTGATAGAGTAATTACGGCTCCGGGGGAGTTTTGAAAGATCTGCGTCACTTTTAGGTCGACTGCTGTTACAGGCGCGGGCCCAAATTGTCACGGTGCTCTCCCCCCGTTTGAATAATGTGCGCTCGTGTGTCTCGCATTCTGCGTCGAAAACTGTATTGTCAGAAAGCCGAGAACAGGTCGCCGCTTCGCAGTGTCTGTGCTGCCTGCCGACTTACGCCTGTGAAAGTTCGGAGACCTCAGTTTCGATCGCTGGCTCTAATCGCAGAGATAGATAACCGTCCGCTGAGCCGCTATCGGTCAAGCTCTGTCGCTACAAATTATGTAGTCGCAATAGCGCTGACAGCTTGATTCAACGAATGATTTACGGTCGCCTTGTGTCATGCTTGCTGAAAAACGCTGAACGGAATAAGCCTCTCCCTGTCGGAAATATTCATTAGAACACGGTATCGTAAGTTTACGCTACTGACTGTCTTGCATCTAAATTATCTTTCGAACATTGTACAAACTTCCGAGAAAACATACTCGTGCGCTTGTAACCGCTTGCGGTATGATGACTTCATGAATTCTCCTTTCGCGCGCTAATTATACATATTTTCGAGATAGCACTCTAGGAGGCTCGTCCGTAATAATTAGTTGTGCTGGTAACCTGAATTCAGTGCAGCCTCTCAAAACCGCCTGTGTGAACAGAACTGATATCAGTATGAAAATGTCGAATCACTTATAATGATCTTTTGACCTGTTTGTGCAAGCAACAAGAGACAGCAATAGAGTGATGTTTTGGGGAAATATATGAGCGAACAAGGTAGAAGGAAGGAAGCTCTTCACAGCAAAGATGCTTTCCACATTATGTTGTACCAACTGACCCAGCATACCACTTTATGGAGTGATGTTTCTTTGCTGCCGTGATATCAGCTTTTATTCATTAATGTGTACAGATACAATCACACTTGTCTAGAGTCAATCATAATGTAGTGCAGTGCAAAAAGCAGACAACAAACGAGCAAGGAAACGAGGACACAGCTCATTATTCCAACTAAAGTTTATTAGATTGGGACATGCGTATATATACACTGGCAAAGCAAGAAAATATAAAAACCAGGAAGAAGAAATCGGGAAGAAAAATCAGCTGCACTACATTATGATTGACTTGTTCCAACTCACCCAACAAACAACATTGTTCGTCTAGAGTGCCAGGTGGCCTCCTCAGGCGCCGTTTTCTACAGAAATATGCCGACTGAAGCTATATTGATGCCTAACGTAGTTATACCGCAGGCTAGATCTTTGTGTTATAACTCAGACATAACAGAAGCTTATAGCCAACATGAGGTAGCAGCTGGGAACAGCAGCAGCATTCACCGCCACGCGCGCCACCGCTATAGACGAGTACGAATCCATCTGTACAAGGGGCTTCTGATGGCGCAGAGTGTGGAACAACCTGTTACTTTGCCAGTGCCACGGTTGAATTGTTTTGAACATAGAAGAAGTGTTACATGGTAGTCCACTTTGACTTTGAGTTCTGCCGACCCACCGATTGCCATACTACAGCTCACTAGTCTAGGCTGTGAGGTAAAATGATGTCATGGATACACGGGCTGGAACTCCAAGACAAGACAGCTTGCAAAAGCAAATGTTTCTACAGCTGGCTAATTACGAATTTATGTTTATATGTAAACCACTACTGGAATGGCAGCACTTGGAGCTGTATGCCAAGAACATCATCAGTCCACTAGTGCACTGCTTTTCTGGTTGTTCGGTGCGCTGAACTGATGAAGCAGTATTAATGAGCAGTATCATTGAGATGTACAATCGCTTTTGCGAAGTTTAGCATAGCTCAGCACAGGATGAAAAGTGTAACAATATCATTGTCTTTGCAGAGCTCAACAAGCACCGTTCGACCCATTCAGTGCCATGCCTGAGTAGGCCGTCTAGCAATATAGGCCATATCCGTGAAATAGACAGCTTGAGGATTACTGCATCTCGTGGCTTGCTGGCTTCGTAGCTGGCTTTGTGTCTTCACTTCACGAGGCTTAAGAAACGGGATTGTCAGAGAGCACATCCGTACGTTGTTTATATATATACGCAGCTGGTTGCTGTGAATATACATTTATTCTAAACTCGCACGGCAACCTACGTGAACTTCTAGTTAAAAAATCATTTTAAGCTGTTACTTTTCTACGGATCCCTGTGCTGAATTAAGAGGCCCGAGCTGCAGGCAGTTTATGTGCAAAAATGTACTTGTACATCAGAGATCACTTGTTAAATTTCAAACCAGAAGCATGGTAGTCAATAAGCACCCTAATTGAACATGAAAGGAGCTCAATAGAATGGGTGGTCTCTGCCCAGTGCACTACCACTAAAACCACACCTTACAGCTAAAGTAATTCATAACTGCAATTAAATAGCATGATCCAATCATGCCGACTACTTAACTTTTATTGTTGTTCTGTTGTGTGTATGATTTGTTTTGCCATTACTATTTTCTTGCATTTCTTATCTTACTAGCAAATATAATGCAATCATTCCTCCTATAGCCTTAAATAGGGCTGCATAATTAAAAATTGATAATTATTAATGCAGAAATTTTGGCTAGTTGGGGAGTGTAAAACTTCTGCATCTTAGAAAGCACCACGGAACAAATACAAATGAACATGCACAAGTTCTACAGTTACCAACTAGTCCAAATTTCTGTGTAAAATATATCTTGTCCTTTTACAAACAGCGCCCATGTTGTTTATGTCTCTCTCCTTTTGTGTTTCTTCCTCTGCGCTTGCTAAGATCTAAAATAAGATAAATTTCATTGACATTGATTGCCCAGCTGGTAGGCATGAGTTTCAACATTATTCAAATACCCAAACCATTCACAGAGTGAAGCCTAGTTCTTGCAGTCATTTTAGCTGCTGAGAATATTCCTACACCAAGTTCATTGAATAGATGTGACAATAGATACCACCATTGTAAAATGAACCACTAAAACAAGTGAGAAAATATGCCTAATAATAAGGTCAGCAGTCACGAGTGTACTCTGCTGTTTGCAGAGAAAGTCGTCGTATCAAAAAAAAAAAAAAAGCTTCAAATGCTCATCGCCCTTTGTATCACACTATCTTGCTAATGCAGAACAGTGTTATAGACAATAAGGCCAAAACAAGGTAATAAAAGCCTGACATCGAAGAGCACCTTCACAAATTGCCTGCCTAAAGAAAGACTTACCAGCAGTGCTGCCATGCATAAATTTTGCATTTAGTGTATTTGTGATTGATGTATTGTGTGTTTTGATCTGTGCTTGTAAATATTTTCACTGTATTTCCTGGCCACCACTGCAATCTTCAGTGTGTTGGAAGCAGAGGGCACAGTAAAGCATGTATTGGTGGAAGTAAAGGTATTATTATTATTAATAATAATATTATTATTATTATTAATATTATTGCATTAGACTCCCTATAAAAGTAAATATGCTACAGAACTTTTGTTAAATGCAACATATTTATTCAGTCCCTTCAGATTTCATTTTAAGAGAGTCTACTGTATTACTCTTATTATTAGCCAAAGGCAACTGTTTCTGATTGAGCAAGTTAAACTACTCTGCCCGTGTTGCGGTTTATTGAGCCTTCACAGAGCGCAACGCTTTCAAGTGCTCATCCTCTATTTTCATTGTCCGCTACCATGAAAAACTTCCAGAGAGCTGCCAGAGCGAAATAGGCTCGGAAATTCAGGATGACATCGTCAGTAGCCAAAAGCATCCAGTCAGAGAGAAAAACAAAAAAGAATGAGTGCCTGGTGGAAAGTGCTGTGTACAATTAGTAGAACCCTAAATAAAATATACGTTTATAAATGAATTCTCTGGTAGAGTGGAGGTACTCGGAAGTGGAATGTTTGAAGAAGCTAGTGCTTATCACTCAGAGTTTCTCATCGAAGAGTTGTGCCGAAAATGTCAAGAAAGAGTTTTTTGTTTCTTCAGAATTTGTGGTTCGGCAATGCTGACTGAGCGATACATGCAACACATGCTGAAAACAGTGGTAGGTGAGCACAGTTGTGGTTAGTGTACTGTGGTTTCCTGCCAATGCGTTCTCCTTGCACTTAAGCGCTGCACTTGACATGGTTTTACCTGTCACCACAAAGGAGGCACCGCTTCTCTGCACCACCTTCTTTGACTTTGTAATATACATTGAGTAAACGAGCAGTTCCTTACAATATAAGGATTGTAATATTCAGAATAGTGTTGTGGTGCATCTAAACAACAGCAGCCCACATATGGTAATCCGAGTGGCTCATTCTCTCTACACCAAGGCTTGTATGCCAGACAGCAAGACATGGCAATTTTTGTTACTTTCAAACCCAGTCTAAAAATACAAATACCATCAAAATCATGAAAAGAATGCTCAATTTTGTTTCTATAATACAGAATCTTCCTATTTACACTAGTTTCTGATGGCACAGTCTTACTGGTTGTCAGTCCCTTTGAAGGCAACCTTGTCCCCGAAGTGTAGCGCATCAGCATTCCTGTACAAAAGCTTCAATATGCTTTGCAGGACTGACAACTTCAGGGGCCTCCAGGCAATGTTCTGCTGACTGTACCACTCATTTTTCAAATTGCTATGACTTTAGAATAATGGCATTTTATTTATGTGTGTGTGCATAAGTTTGTTGTATTTTTGCATTTTGTATTATCTCTGGGATTAATTACTCAGATTATTTAAACACGTCACCTACATAAATTGTAACCTGTAGATTGAAATATTTGGCTATTCTTTTCTTCATCTATTTGTTCTGACGCAGTTGTGATCTTTGCACGCTTGTCTGCATTTGAAATATGTGACCAGTAGGTAACAAAATTATCAGAATAAGTTATCCCGGTTGCCCCGCCGCGATGGTCTAGTGGCTAAGGTGCTCGGCTGCTGACCCGCAGGTCGCGAGATTGAATCCCGGCGGTGGCGGCTGCTTTTTGAATGGAGGCAAAAATGCTGTAAACCCGTGTGCTCAGATTTGGGTGGACCTCAATGAACCCCATGTGGTCGAAATACCCAGAGCCTTTTACTACGGCGTCTTTCATAATCATATGGTGTTCTTTTTTTTTAAATCAATCAATTCTTTATTTGCAAAGCATCAGATACAAAAATACGAATAACTGGTTGGATTCATAGCCAAAGGTTAGTAGAGGGTCCAATGAAAAATAAAAAATCAGATTTCTATGTACAAGAGATAGCAGAATGTGTACGGATATAATCATTATACATTTTAAATTCCACAAGCGTACAAAGGGATAGCAAATGTATCGGTAATTGCAGAGTTACAATTCTTGGTAAGAATGGAAATACAGTAAAACAGTGTAATTTCATGCAATAATATTCAAGTAAAATTTACATGTTCAGCCTCGAGGAAAACTGTTTTTTTAGCAAGTTTCAGCAAACTACTGGCAAGCAAAAATAAAATGACATCCTGACTGTCTACCCTCAAGCCATATCGTTCTGACTAAACTAGTATTTTTTCAGCACAAATGAAAAATTTTTTGGTTGTTCTATTTCTGCTGGTAGTTTATTCCAGACTTTTGCTCCTGAAAACTGTATAAAGCGTTCCCCATATGTATCTCTAGTATGGGGGAGATTGAAATTTCTGTATGCTTGACGCTTGATTTCTAGTCACACGAAAGGGGGTGCAAAATACGTTTAGCCCCTCATGTCATCATATCATCATTAAATGATCCGGGTTCTTGAGCAGCAGGCAAAATGAATGTGTGCTTTACAGTGCTGTTTTACTGCACATTAGGTGCTGTTTTAATTTCTCACTGCATGCCTTTTCAATTAACCCATCAATGTTCATTTTCAGATCACTGGGGGTGTAGCAACACCACTTGTGTTCTGTGCTGACCTAGACTCCATACCAAGCTCGTGCCTGGGACGTCGGCATCATATTCCACATTTGGTTCTGGGAAGCGGGGTAGTTCTAACCCCTCATGTGTGCTTGTCATGTATACAAAGTTTGGCGCATAGAATTGTGTGAAACAAAAAAAAATGGCATACTTCTCTCTACAAGCCTATGCCATTGCATGAAGTTAGTCCTGAAAATACTTGCCTGAGAGTCATTACAGCGGTGAGTGTCTGGGACTGCAGCTGCTGAATCATGGTTTTTCCTGCGTGCTACCAGTGTCTCTAGCCTGTTGAAGTGTCACAGCTAGGCTTTACTTTTGCCTACTTACCTGAAGGTACCTGTGAGCCGGACCATTTATTTTCTGTATTTTCTTCAACTTAGTGATGTAGTGTAGTGAAAATTTGTGAGTGCTGTTTCGGATCGCCGTGAGAGTACATGTGTGTGTGTGTTGTGTTGAAAAACTCATTTGTGAAAGAAAATGTTTGTCAAAGCATCCATGCGACACAATCTCATTTTGAAGCTGTCCTGGTTGTGAGCACTTATATCAGCAGAGAACTGTTATTGGTTGCTGTAGTTGAACCTGTAAAAAGGACTGATTCTATTGCTCTAACATGTGATTGCTCATTTTGTCTTGTGTATCCAGAATAAAAAAGTGCACTGTCAGAATACAGCTTTCCATGCTAACCTTATAATTAAGCCTGCGTCAATATTGAAGTGCCTGAAATATTTTAATCAATATTACAGTAGGGTGATTCCACGAGAGATCGACACGGGTCCAAAAGTTGATAGTTTAGATTTCATTGAGTATTTTATATTTCGTGCACCTCTCACCAGGTAGCCCAAAAGTCAACTTCGTTTTATGATTAATGGCATAACTTACGAGAAAAAAAAAATATCAAACTTCACCAACATGGAGGCACCAATTTCGTCACATGTCATTTTCGAAAATTGCAGATGCTATAAAAAGTCAAATATTCTTGTTTCAAGGAAGATATTTTTTACCTGAAATGCATGTCTAATGAAGAATGAATTCATACGGTTTCAAGTTTGAAGACCTTAAGAAATTAGCTTTTAAAAATGTCTAATTTTACGACAGTTTAAAATAAGTTACGTATTCCACATTTTTTTTTCCAAAACTAATGCAAGCAGCGTTTTCAAACTTGACACGTTTTAAGGATATAGTGTGTTCATTAGGTACATAACTTATTGCTGCCGTAGGGCAAATGTAAATTTTTATATATTGCCTCAAAGTTCTCATATTGGCAAAAGTGTACTGAAGATCATTGCTTTTTTTGTGGTTTTTGTTATGAGCTACAATGAAACCATTGTTTTTAACGGCTTTCGACAGCAAGCACGTGTAAGATAGTTGCTTCCAGTGTGCAGGTTTTCAATTCTTTTCTCTAATAGCTTTTTTAACTATTTCAGTTGAGTTGCCATTGCTGTAATGGAAATCTTTTTGTTTTTGTTCATGCCAAAAGTGTCCTCTTTCCCCTTCGTCTTTTGTGGTATTAGAGCTGTCATTTGGCCATTGGGCTCACAGTTTTATAGTGAATGCCAAATCTTACTCTATTACTACTGCATATACCAAAGTCCTAGATGTACTTGCTTTGAGCACTAGCAACATGATGTATTTCCTGTTCACACCAATCGGCATTTATAAAAACAATGATGTTTTGCTTTACTTGATTTGCAGTTGCATGATTTTCTGGATATATGTGCTTTGAGGTGACCTTACCTGCAAAGCAACCTCTGCATTTGAAGCTATATTTTTTTATTTCAAACCTTGCAGCATGCCTGTTTTGTGCAGTTCAGTTGTTATGGAGACCAATACATCTATAATTTGCTGTTTATCTTGTGATACTGTTGCCAAGAAAAGCTGCCAGGACATTGAACTTATCCTATTTAACATCTCGGCTTATGAGCTGGCTATACATGTGCAAAGTATAATGAAACATAATCTTTGTACGATCACCTCACATAGCCCTAATATGGGTTTCCTATGTGAATACCAATCTTCCATCTAAACATAATTCAAAATGTGTTTTCGAATGTTGTAGGTGCAGTTTTTAATGATCGTTGGAAGAGTTCAGAACAAATTTAACTCTTGTTTTATGAAATAGAAATAGCGTGGCTTTTACACGGGTACCAGGCGAAATCACACAGAAAAACGCTGCTTTCACGTGAACTTTGGTTGCAAACGAGAGGTATGCATGACCTAAAAAGTTTTTGTCAAAATAAACATTAAAGCATGACTTTATGGCATAATTTCATGTGGTCCTTTAGAAATGGCAGTTCTTTCTCTGACTAAATGATAGATGCCTCGCTGATACATGATGGTAAGCATGGATTTCATCTGCATGGATTTCAATGTTTTTGCGAGTGCATAGGGCTTCATGTCTTCTGCCTTCTTTTGTTCTTTGGTAAAAATTGGGCTGTTTCTATATTGCAATGCAAAGCCAACAAGCCCGAAGGTTCATCAGGACATTTTGAGGGGCTAGTTGGTTCATTCTACGCAGGAAAATTTTGCGCTAAAATAGAAAAAGAAAGCACAGAAAAGGAACTTGAAGCAAATTGAGTGCAATTTTTTCTTGCACCGAAAGCTTCACTTTTACCTGAATTTTGTACATACTCGTGTTTCTCTCCATTAGGAAATCTCGCTGACCTGACTGTGGCTAACATTGGCGAGCCGCACCTGCTGCCACAGAGGCTGTCTCGTCGGTTTCGGGTGCAGCCTGTGCTCGTACACGGCAGCTGCCAGCAGCCTTGTGGAACGCCACATGCGGACGCACACGGGCGAGCGGCCGTACCGGTGCGAGCACTGCTCCAAGGCATTCAGCCAACGATGCAACTTGGTGCGGCATTGCAGGATGCACACAGGCGAGCACCTTTTTTTTTTCGTTCTACGGGTTGACTGAGATTGCCATGTGGCAGTGTCCTTGGGTAATTTAGTTATTCCTTAGAATATATTGTTCATCCTCTCTCAAGGGTCATTACAGAAGGTTTGGCACTCTGTATCGCATAAGTAGGCACATAATTATACGGCTTACAAAAATGACTTAGACATCCACTTATATGAGTACACTCAGACTTATCATAACAAAGTGTATCTTACATGATAATAGATTCGTTATATCTGAAAATTCCGTATAAAGGTTTATTCCTAACACTATATCCATGGCAACACTTTTTCTCATTAACTTTGTTATAACCAGTATTTCGTTATTTCGAGTTCATGATATCGAGCTCTGAGTGCAGTATGTAAAAGCTCTCTTACCAAACAATCAGACACATTTGAATTGTTATAACAATAATAGCATTCAGGTTAATTGTCATGGTAAATCACATAAATATACATCAAGCACATAAATTTATTAACATCATTTATATTTACCACATCAATCAATTGATTTCATGCCTCAGGAAAAAAAAAGTTCAGTGTATATTTGTTGGTGCACTGTAATATACTGATTTGTTGTGTATGATTTGTCCTCTCACTTCATTTTCCAGGCAGTTGTAGATAGTTGTTTCGCTCAATTTTAAAATCATCTTTCTCTACCGAAAAATAAAATTTAATCTACTTCGAAATCTACTTATTTGCTGCGCCTCTAGATCACATACTTGTAACATTGCTATGACTGACTCTTAGGTATCTTGAACATATAAAGCGAGATGCAAGCCATTGTATTCTTTCTAGTGTTGTTTCTTTAGAAGCGATCAAGACCTTCCAATATACTCTAGTGGTTATTGGGTTCGACTTCTGACTCAATGGTTATGGGATAGAATGCGCTCCATTTCGGGGAAGGCAAAATGCTAGAGGTCCCATTGCCGAGATTTAGGTGCACGCATAGACTTTATACAATAATACCTAGAGCGGAATCTGGCGCTAGTGTCTACGTAAGCTCCTTCAGCGGCGCTTGTACCCCCATGGGAATGATAGGAAGTACAGGCTTCGGATCTGCTTCGGATGGATCACATTCTTGAGATTCACGACACTTGTTTGCTGAGCGTAAAACAAAGTAATATGAAGTTATGTCTAACTGAAACTTGCTGCATTTTTTTAGTACGCAAACTTTATTGAAAAATGGTTTTGTGACTGGGTGGTAGAAGCGAAACCTGGAGAAATTTAACCAGCAGGGTATGCATTGCTCTGCCATTGCGTTCCAGATTTGGCATCAAGATTTAATGAATTATTCTTTACAACATTTCAAAACAAAAATTCTTCTTTTGCCCTCGAAAGTATGCAATATCTATTTATGGGAATAACAGCACAGTTTTAAGTGAGAAACACCTAACGTTTCGTCTGCTGCGATGCCAGGCGCGTCTGTTCGACGTCTGCCCCCAACGCGCCTCTCGTGCTCTTGTGAAGTCGAGTCAGAAGAAGAGCGTGGCGGTGCATCTACTTTGCGTCACCGTCGTTTTGCAGTTGATTTGAACGAGTTTTGGCAAGATGCACTAACAACAAACAAGAACTCGATGCAATATCCTGCGCTTGCATGGGACGCTACATCTATGCACAGCGGTGGGTGGAGGACACTTCGCTTAAACTGTCAAACACGACTTATACAGCTGCAGGGTTGCAGTAAATTGAGAGACCTAGCAGTTTTCAGCTTCTTTGAACAACAAAGGCGCAGCTTCAGTCCTTTGCACCCACCCCATTACCCACTCTACGCGAAGAATGAAACTGAAGCTGTAGAAAAAGATCCGCTGACAGTTCGCTGGCTAACACTATCAAATCCGAATCCTGTACTTCCCATAATTCCCATGAGGGTACACGATCGCAGCGCCAGATTCCTCTCTAGGTTTTATTGTATGAAACTCTATGGGTGCACGTTAAACACCCCCAGGTGGTCAAAATTTCTGGAGCCCTGCACCTTTATAACCATATAGTCGCTTGAGTCCTAGCAGTTGTTATATGATTCATGACAATTGGGGGCTAAGCGAATAAGGCGCAATCCAAATCAGGTGCTGCTTGCAGTAACTTTTAGCGTTGTAAGGCCCAAATGGGGTTTCACTTAAAAAATATGCAACACATCTTCTTTGCTATTTTTGTAGTAATAGAGGGTGTATCTCTAAGAGACAAAAGAAAATGTTATCTTAGCTCCAACTGTATTATTGCACAAATTAATTACTAATTGGCTTGCTATGCTATCTATATGTCAGCACTCTCTCGAGTTTTCAGAAGGGTTGCATTAGGGCCGTGTTTGCATTTGACTGGTACAAATCTGATTTTTGTGTGTATCAGAACAACGTGGTACATAAGATGCACTTGGTATTGGCAGGGTTAATCATGATCAGGCCTCATCAGCATCAAGTTGATTGTGATCTGGTTTCTCGATTGGCATTTCACCATCTGCTTCAAACCCAATCCGGAAACCCCATCCGGTGTGGTGGCAACAATTGTTGATTGAAGGGAGCAGATCACGGCTATGAGTGTTGACCGGCGCATGATCCAAATTGAGCCTAATCCAGATTCACCCTGATTACGATGAAAAGTGCCCATGTGTGGCACTAGTATTGCTAAATCTCCAGAGGCCCTGAGGCATTTTTTCAACATATAAAGTAAGCGTTGTAGTTCTGTAGATGAGACTGTTGTAATGTTGTGTGAAATATGTTACTGCACTACACGCAGCAGAGCATGAATTCTTGTGTCAGGAACATTCAAAAGGAAAATGCTCTCTCTTTTGCAATATCTTCACCAGCAAAAAGGTCATAATTGGTATTCACTGATCTCTTAATTGCAAAGACATTCTCACTAATGGCTACTTCTTCGCGAATATTTGCTGACCGTTTCAATGCAACATTTCTTGTGTGGCGCACAAACATCCCATGTTAAAACCATGCCTAAAATTGTGGACTATGTAGCGTTCAGCATCAGCATTGGAAAGAACAATGATTGGTGCAACCTTAAAGGACAACAGAACAGAGTGCATCATAGAACAAACGTGTTTAATTGCCATCTTAGTCAAAATCAAGGAGATGGGCGAAGCATGTTGTGCGTAGGCAGGATAGCCGCTGGCACCTAGAATACCGACTGAATTCGAAGAGAAGGCACACGCCAAGGGGTAGACACAGTTAGGTGGGCAGATGAGACGAAGTTTCCGTAGCGTTGCAGCAACTAGCATAAGACTCGATTCATTGGTAGAACACAAGAGACGCATTTGGCCTGCAGTGGGTGTAGTCAGGTCGGTGTTAACGACGAAGCCTTTTGCAACAGAATATTTCGAACTTTTTATCTTGATTACCTGTCTAAGCGACCAATGCAGCTGCATTGCTTATGAGCACTGTGTGGCCGCCCCCCGAAAGCTGTAGCTTTCCGTGGCCACCATTGTTTTGTTTTTTCTACAGAACTTCCTGCTTTTTTGTGGCATGTTTCGCTAGTATTGTTCGTCGTTTTTAGCAGTGGTGGAAAGGGGCCACATTTAGAAGTGTACCGTATATACTCGCATAATGATCACACTTTTTTTTTTTAAATTGTCTCCAACTTCGGGATGCGATCATTACGCGGAATAAATTTTCCCTAAAAAAATATTCCGAGCTCTGAAAACACAAAAAGTCGCTAATCAAAATTCTTACGATAACTATCATGAACATAACCAAAAATAAAAGTAAATTAAGGCTTACCTTTGTAATAAAATGCACGCATTACGCAGGTCGCTACATGCATTGGCACACTACCCTTTTATTTTTTACCTCTCTGACCTCATAACATTCACTCAGACTCTGAAGCGTCACTGGCGTCAGTGTCGTCGCCGCACGATTCCATGTTTGCAGGGTCTTCACTGTCCCACAGACTGGTCATCTTCCGTTCCGTCGAGCGCGTTGGAAATGCCAGCCTTTTTAAAGCTCTTGATGACCACCTTGTCGGAAATGGTACTCCACGCTTCGAGAATTCATGAGCAGAGGACTTTCATGGACGGTCTCCTGATTTTTCCACTTGGCGTGAAATCGTGGTAGCTCGCCGCCATCCGCTCTGCAGTACAGCCTTGGGATCTTGTCCTTGAACGGTTTGTTCAGTGACACGTCCAGAGGCTGTAGCAGCGAAGTTAGACCACCAGGGATCACTGCGATTTCTGTGCGCCACTCCTTCTGCTCGGTACGAACAATGTCAACGAGATGGCCTTGAAAGCTGTTCAGCACAAGAAGTGAAGGAAAAGTGCTCCTGCTCTTTGCCCCCAAACCGTCTTGATCCAATCGACCATGAGGTCTGCCGTCATCTACCCTTTAACTTGAGCGGGGATGTGGATGCCACGAGGAAAGTTTCCCTTCTGAATTGTTTTTCATTTCAGAACAACATACGGCGGCAGCTTCCGCCCGTCTGCCGTCACTGCAAGCATCACTGTGCATCGCTGCTTCTCCGCACCACAGGTTTTCACGAGGACGCTTCGAGCACCTTTCTCATTCACAGTGGTGCTTCGAGGCATGTCGAACGTTAACAGCGTTTGGTCGGCGTTGCCTATCTGTGACAGCAGGAAGCCTTCTTCTGGCGTATCCTCGTGACGAACCTGTGGAAATCGATCACCTTGTCTTCGTATGCAGATGGAAGTCGCTGGCACAACGACGTTCGCCGCCTCAGCGACAGTCCATTCCGCCACATGAAGTGTGTCGTCCAGCCAGAACTGGCGCGGAAGTCCTTTGTGGCTATTCCCAGCCGCCTGGAAACTGTGTGTGCCTGTGTCCCTATCATGTCTAACGACACTGCAAAACCGTCCTTGCGCATGTCCTTCACGTATTCGAGGACTGCCTTTTTAATGTCCGGGAGCTTGCCAGATTTGGGTCCGTGGAAAGCCCGACGCGTGCTGTTAGTAGCCATGAGCTTGTCGTGCTGTTTTTTTCCAATAGCGGATCCGGATTTCGCTGACGATGTCTGCTGGCAGTGCGGTTGCCCTGTTCCAGCGCGTAGTCAAGCGTCTTCAGCTTGAACGCGGCAGTAAAGCTCGCATACCGCCCCATGGCGAAACGGTTCTTCAACAGACGATCACAGAACACCTACCAAGACGCTCACAAAGCACACACACACACACACAAAAAAAAAAACGTGGTCTCAGGAAAACAAACATTGCTGCGGGATGAACACAGGTCGACCAACAGGCGGCCGCCGCGGTAACAGTGCGAGATGTCAAAACAAACATGGCAGCTGACTGAGCGAAGCGACCGCATTTTTTTTTCTTTTTTTCGTCAGTTATAGAGGTTCTGAATACGTCACGTGCGTCAGAACAGTTTCTTCAATCTAAATAAGGAATGCTTTCATTTAAATTAGTAAATCTACGGCATTAGCGTAGTGATGCCTATTTTCAGATTACAGAAACAATGATAGGCGCGTTCAGCTGCCACAGACATAAAAACACATGGCAGGCATTCAGTTAAAACTGCGGCATTTGCCTTTACTGCAATCCTAAATGGCACGTTTCCGCCAACGGTGGGCAAAAATTAGGAATATCTTTGGTGCATACAGTTTGCTAGTTTCATTTGACAGATAATAAAGGCGATGATCATCGGCTAGAATTGGCACACGACATATTGATGCGGCAAGTTCGGGGTGTGATCATTACGCGGGTAAAAAAATCGCATTTAGACAACAAAATTTAGTAGTGTAATCATGACGCGAGTGCGATCATTATGCGAGTATATACGGTAGTATATTTATGTGTTACTATCACACATGCACTTCATTACACTTAGTGTACTTGCACACATGCACATAATGTGACTGTGGTCATTTCATCTCCTAATCGCAGCAAAAGACGTGCATTTGTCTGTCATCACTTCTCTATTTGTTTTATTTGTTCTTTTGATAGCTTTGCAGTCCCCAGGCGGTCTGGCAAATCAGACGTTGACTGTGCCTACACAACTTAAGCACTTGTCTGTGCAGCTTGCAACACATTTATTGTTCATTTTTCTTTTCTTTGTGTAGGTCAGCGACTACCAAGTGGCGCTACAAAGAAACGTGTTTAGAGCCACTGCAGTGTCACCTTGCAATGGAGCCTTACTACAATAATGCCTGGGACATTGCAAAACCCAACGATGCCATGCACAGATGCAGTTAGCCAGAGAAGATATATCATAGTATATTTACAAGTTCACATGTTTAATATACCATTGTCTCTAAATAACCTATTGCAAGGCAGCAGCAGCAAAAAGCTGGAAAAGTCGAAAGAGGCAATGCCGGAGTCCTCAGGTGATCCATCCATGATGGTGAAGAAGTCCTATTTGTCTGTACGAGTATTTACCGTATATACTCCAATCTAGGCCGACCCCCAATCCTAGCTGACCCCCGAAAAATCCGAAGCCGGCAAAATAAAAAAAAAAAAAAAACCTTGCATAGGATGTAGGCCGAACGAAAGAGTGAATGAAGACAGTGTTCACAAAGAGAAAACATTTATTTATGTGAACGTGTCGTGTGTTTGCACTCAAATTAGTTTTTTTGAAATCTACCAACTAGCCCAACAACAAGATTTTTTTCAATAATTGTGTGCCCCTTTTCTCAATGAAAAATAGTGCGTTTTTCAAGATCCTCGAATATAAGCTGACCTTAGAGTTTGATGCAAACAAAGTTGAAAAAAAAAGGTATATATATGTCTAGGTTTAAATAAATACAGTAACTTTTTTACGTTTCAGTCGAGGCTAGCCACTGAGATCAATTCTTTGTGAAAAACAGTTGCACATATTTATTTTTCTTCTGCATGCCTTTTTTTTTTATGCTGAATCTTCGAGATGCTGCAGAAAGGGGATCGATCCAGATAAATCAGTGATTGATCATTAGGTGAGTTATCAAAAAATATTGTCAGCCGCTGTTGTTTTCCGGTCAAGCAATCATGTTTATAGTTCTCTTGCTTAACTGTAATTGTGCAGTAAATTTCACGCAGCCTCACTACTTTGGGCATAGTCATTCAATGTACTTAAAGTTGCAGTGCAGCCAGGCTAGCGTTTAGTGATACTCTGAAGGAGCAGCATTAAGTTGCCATCAAAGGTAAAGAAATAATGTCATTACTCGTATTCCTGTGTTGTCCACTTCTGACAAAGTATATTAAACTATTATAAATAAGTCCATCAGTATATTTGAAGTTTCTAAACATTTAAGTATATTTACATGTTTCAGCTACATTATTTATTGTCTTGAAGAATGTTTTTGTTAGTCAAACTTCTGTCATTCATTTATTGAGACAGCAAGTCAGTCAGCCCATCAAGCGTTGTGTTCTCGGTTCACAAGTTGCTAAGAAACTAGGTGATACATATAGTTGTGTTGTGTCAGATCTCGTTCTGGCAGTTTATAGAGCTTAGCATTATTTTATGTTTTCTCATCTTTTCTGGTGCATATGTATAAGCCAAACGCATACATTGCAGTAAAACTGTAAAATTGCTCCTTGCAGTGCAATCCTGGTGAAATGATAAATTGAAAGCATAAAGAGTACTCACTGTGAATTTGTCACAATCAGAGTTCCTAATTACGATCGTAGTGAGCAGGTCGTATGTACTGTATCATTCTGTTCGCACGACTCAAAGAACTCGGGTGATAGTTCTTGTGCCCATTTTGAGAAAAATAAAAGAGGAGAAACAGAATAAGTCCAAATCAAAGCTCTTTGCATAGACATTCAGACAGTATTGGCTTAATTTAACGAAATGCCCTTGTTAACAGAAATTGACTGATAAGACACCTGGGTGTTATTCTCTTGCCCAGCCAAATCCGATAGCCTTCTATTTCCGTAGTCATTATGTTATCAACATATATTTTGTTTACAAGAGGTTGTTTTGAGTGTATCAAATATGAGTGGCATTGACAAATAAAGAAAATTTTTGCACAATATTTAGGAGCCGGTTGCGAACATATTTTGTAATAAACATGTTTGTTTCTAAACGTTGTGTGCTTTTTCTTGCTTGTCACTCATTTTTGTGCACATTGCATTGGTCTTTCAAATTCCTTAAAATTAAAGGATGCATTTCGAAAGGTCTTGAAAGTCCTACAATTTCAACCCCCTTTGTTCTATTTCACCTCAATGAAATCTGAACTATGTTTGTTCGTTTTGTTAATCGCAGAATTGTCTCTGCAAACTCTGTAGCGAGGCTGTCGTGGGTTACTGTCTGTCGCAAGTTCCCAGTTAAAATTTAAACAATGTGCATAACATGTGATAAGAATGTGTACTTCCTGAAGGGGGCCTGCAACACTGCTTCAAGTAGCCATGAAATAGATTCACTAAAGCAGCCTAATGCCTTGTGATTTCCCACCAAAAATTATTTGTATGTGTCCAGTACAATCAGAGGTATGAAGATTTGTCGCACGCTGCAGTTGCATTTTCTTTTTTCTTGTCCCGATGAAAGTATCGGAAGCTAAGCAGAGAGAGATGGCACATAGAAAGAAAATACGTCAAGCATACCTCGTGACCTTGTGCACTTTTCTCTTTTCTTTTTCTTCAAATACGTGGCTTTTCAGTAAAACCGCATGCGCATGTACCGTGGACAAATCGCAGCCTCCACCGGCAGCCCGTGTAACAGCCGAGCATGCCGTGCTCACATCAGCCACTGGCTGATACAATGGATGTGATGAGTGATTTTGAGTTTATAATGTTATTTGCCGGGAGAAGAGAAAACAATATTGATCAGACTTTGAGAATGAATTGTGAATTCTAGGTCGCACGCTGGGCTCCCGTGTTCTCGGGAAGCTCGACTACCGATCTTCAGCATTTTTTATCCTACTCAAGAAATATTACAGGGCTTTTTAAGGGAGCGTGAACAGTAGCACTTAGTGAAGAGGTTGCTTGCAGATTTAGGAATGACGCGTCATAAAAACGTGAAACAAAGACAAAAAGCACAGAACAAGTAAAGAAAACACAGAGAAACAACGAAATAACAGTTTCTGAAGAGTGAAATGGCCAACACAGGCTCACTTTTTTGGGACTTGAAACCTCTAGGCGATGAAAAGTGACATAGGCACAGAGGCGAGAGATGCAGGCTGGCTTTGGAGAAGCCAGTGACGGCTTGCGGAGGCTGGCCACGGAACTGGAGCCTTGCTGAATAGATGCACTGGAGGCAGAGGACGTGAGTCGCCTTACGTAACCTGTAGCTACAACTTGTGAATCGTGTCCCATAGTGCCAACAGTTGGAGCTTAGTCACCCGGCTGCGTCAAACGCCCAACACTCGACTTTCTCCCATCCCTCTTTCTCCTCTCTTTTCTTTCTCTCTTCCTTGGCCCTCACCATGCTGGCGGATTTTCACGTGAGCTGCACAGTTATCGTCATCTTTGTCTTTCGGCACATCACAAGGAGGCACTATAGGTATTTGGCATGCACATCACACAGGTCCTCATTCAAGTCCTTTGTCTAAAGTTATCTAAAATAAACAAAAGGTGCTTAACAGTGACAAAAATGAACATCTCTGCCTTTGACACAAATTATACTGCACATAACCACCTAACAATGATCGACAAAGAATGCTCTGCAAAAAGTTCAAATCGCAGGTTACTTCTCCAAGCAAAGTCAAACACCGGGATACATTTTTGTTTGAAGCGAAACTGCAAGAGAGAACATGCAAAAAAGGAACGTGTCAATTATTTGATCAGAACACGAAACGGTGGTCATGTTTTGCTTGCTTTGAGTCCAAATGCATCACATGAGAATAAGGCTTGTGACAGATTTTCCCTTTCTCTTTTCGATAACGTGTGCAGCTGGGCATCCGATCGCTTGACAAAAGGTATTCATGACATTGCTATCCCGTGTGTGCGGGCTTCCTCTGCATTTCATGGCAATAGCGCACTTTGACATTTCAGTAGCAAGTCGCCGTAAGGTTCTTCAGCTCAGGCATTTCATGTAAAATAATTTCCTTCTTGTGTTTGCTGCTATTTTCTTTGCCATCTCATCTCATTCATCATTTTAGTTTTTTTTTCTATCACTTTGTGCAATATGTTGCAGTGGCGATAGGCTATCGATCGATTTGTGGGGTTTAACGTCCCAAAACCACCATATGATTATGAGAGACGCCGTAGTGGAGGACTCCGGAAATTTTGACCATCTGGGGTTCTTTAACGTGCACCCAAATCTGAGCACACGGGCCTACAACATTTCCGCCTCCATCGGAAATGCAGCTGCCGCAGCAGGGATTCGATCCCGCGACCTGCGGGTCAGCAGCCGAGTACCTTAGCCACTAGACCACCGCGGCGGGGCTGCAGTGGCGATAGGCTGTACTCATATCCTTTTTCATTGTCGTGTGTGAAGGTGCATAAGCAATTCTTCAGTGCCAGTCAAACTATTTCTTGCATCCGGATCAAATTAAATAGCTTCACATTGTACTGTCTTATACTATAAGCTTGTTAAGTGACCCTCACTGAATTATCAAAGGCTGCTACCACAGATTTGCACATTTGCCTTGGCTGTAGGTAAGTCGCTCAGACCTTGTTTGTTTGTATGCATTTTTTCCGAACAGTACAAATCATCGTATGCTTTTTAACAGCCTGATGGTCGAAACAAGTTATGTCTGATACGTTTGCTGTTAGGCACATTCTTGATAGTAAGGGGAACTAATACTGTACCAACATGCTGAAACAGGCCAGCATGCCAAAAACATTACCGTTAACACGCTTTGTTCTGAGAATGTTGTTGGTGTGCTTGTTTACACTGTCTTGTGTGCATACGAGGTTCTCGGATAATAGAAAATAGATCACTTAATTTTTATACCATAGAACCCCGATTGTGAGTGTGGGTGGCACTCGTCCATTGTTGGCTTTCTTGAAAGCATAGGGTTTGTGACTGTCACGATATATTGCTGAACAAAGATAGAAATTTTGAGGACTGATTTGTTTGTGTGACACAGCCTTCGATAAAACCAGCAGATTTTAACACCAATGCAGCGCTCCAATATCTGCTAGTTTTCATGAATATTTTGCCTGTAAACTTTCATGATGCGGCACATTTCTTATATCAGGATAGTTGTTTCTTCAGGGCAGCTCATAAGGACACTTCAACTTCACTGTCAGGATTGCTGGATGTATTAACTGGACATCAAAGGAAAACTTTATGTTGTCACAAAATTAGAAATTATGAACTGTAAGGCTGCAAAAATACTGTCACCTTTTAATCGCATTTGCTGATTGGTAAAGAAAGCGCCCATACTTTTGCGCTCGGCCCTTAGGTGCGGGTAAATTGAGGCTGTTTTTTTTTTAAGATTATTCCTTGCCAGCGTCCTTGTTTCCAAACATTTATGACAAAGCTTTTTTTATACTTTTTATGGCAGCACATTTCTTGTATAAACATCAGCATGCTCAAACTAAATGCCCGTGCGATTTTTTTTTTGTTTGCTACTGTAGCTCGTACTAAAGCCAAACGCATCGTCACTGTCGCTTAGGTCAGTTGACCGCAATTATTGATATGCTGCAACGTAGCGGTGTCCGCGATGAAGATTTAATAAGAATATTTGTTAACCTCCGTAGTGTCACAACCCTCATTAGTGGCTGAAGCTTCTAAAGCGAAACTAGTTACTGCTTTCAGTTGTTGACTGTGTTTAACGGAAAACTCCAGCAAGTAATGTGTAACATCTTCGTGCTCATTGTGGAGCTATTAATGTTTATTTTATGCTGTACTTGAGAGTAACATGTCGAAAAATTCAGTTTTCCTAATCTCTCATTTTCTAGTCTCTCGCGAGCATCGACACCACGCGATGGCCGCGCTCAGAGAAGAGCGTCTGCGTTTACAACACGCTCTTTAAAAGTTAATTAACCTCATACTGAAGTTTAACTGCACTGTAAAAAGCTATATAGCAAGCGGCAACCTACCTTAGAGCCAACCTTACATAAATGTAAACATTGTGAGGCTCTGGTTGACGTAAGTATCGAGAAATCCGTAAATATTGGTACAAATTCTACCGCGTAATCGAGCCCATTCGGGATCGAATTTCTCTTTCACGATTGGCCGCATCTCTTCCGCAAACTGCGCAAGTAACCGAGACTGATAAAAACTCGATCCCGGTAAGCCTCAATAACGATTGAAAGTGCACTTTGTGACATCGATAATTAAGAACTCGTTCGGAGGTAAGTGACGGAAACCTGTTGGCGAAACTTGAGCTCTCTCTTTCATGTGTCTGCGGTTTCGATAGTCAGGTGTCACTCTTGCGTACACATGACTAACTAAGACGCATGGTCATGTTGGCATGCGCGTCTGGCCTTGCTTGAACAGTGCGCAGTCAGCTGTAGCGCATTATACGTCGGAAAAACGTTGTCGCGAAGCACACCGCCAAGAGGCCTGCTTTCTCTTTGCGGTGTCGGGGCCAGCCTAATGGCGATCACTGCTGAGCGTTTTAAGGGCTCAGCATCGCTCTCTGGTTGCAATAGCGAGTGTATAATCGTTCGTTCACGCTGAAGGCAAAGCTCTTAGTCGCTGCGACTACATGAGCCGAGAAGGTCACGCTTTCTTGTGCTGATTATGTCAGTTCATTCTAACTGGGCGAAGCTGCCCGGGTCTGCTGACCGACGAGCTACAGCCAGTGGCGTAAATGACCCCCCCCCCCCATCCCGATGGCTGAGGGGGGGGGGGAGGACACCCCTTACAAGTGTTCCCCTCTCGAAGTTTCTCTTTCAAACACCATATATCGGAATGGCTTCACAGTTCAGTGCAGTGCATCCAACGTCTTCAGTGCCTTTATTTTATGTAGCCTGTACCAGTATTAAAGAGCACTCAATTGTGTGAGGTTATTGAAATTGTAACTGCTGGTCGATCGGTTTTTCAAGAGAAATTCAATAGAACAATGCAATTACTCGAGCTGAGAATCCATGTTAAATTTTTTCAAGTTGATTTCAGGACGTTATTTTAATTTTTGTATAAGTAAATTAAAACCTGCACAACAGTGAGAAAAATACAATGGTCATCTTGGCAAGATGTATGTCTGTCCCCCATTGTAATATTTCTAGATATATGTCACTGGTTACAGCACCAATAAGCCATTGAAATGAATGTCTGGGATGCTTGTTTATGATAGACTAGGAACAGCAGTACATTGCTGTTCCAGGTGCCAAGACAACTTCAAGAAATGAATGTAGACGTGGCTTTGAGCTTGAAACGCAGCTGAAATTTTCGGGAATGCTTGTGTGCATTGGCATTGCCCCTAGCGTGGTGTGCGACGTGGTGGCATTTCTCTAAAAAAGATTTGAAATTTTTTTCAGGGTGTACGAACCACTTTCGGGGCCTCGAAGCACAACGGCATTGACCACACAACTCTTATATCGGAAAACATAAGACAGTTATACCCGACAATGTGCTAGCTATCTTGTTTGAGCATGTTTGTTTGGAAATGCATGCTGTCCAATATTGTGTGTCTTGTGGGTGCAATTAGTCACTTGCATTAATTGTGATCTTTATGTGTTTTTTTTTGTCAGTGAGTGTCATAATGTGACAAAGAGGACACAGAACCATTACAATTATCCCAATTCTGGAGCTGATGCAGGAATATGTGTGTGTTGCTTGCTTTTTTCATTCCACATTAGAACAAATTTCGCTCAATTGCTACCATTCGCCGTGCTATAACTCGTTTGTTTTGAACCTCAATAGTTCATTATCTTAGAAACAGCAGAGTGCAAAGATTTGCAGACATTTTTTTCAGGGACATGTGAAATAAATTGTCTCAATAGCACCGCCGAGGCATTGTCCCTAGTGGCTTCTCAGCCTTCCTCTGAAGCTTCTTCCTTGTGTGGGTTTTGGCGATGTCACATGCAGCCACAGGTCGGGAGAGCTTGTGGAGCTCATTCAGTTCCACTCATGAAATATGTTTTGTGCTTTGTACTAATTCGGGCTCAGGCTCATCAATATTTTTCCTAAGCCCGACTCACTCAAACTTGCACTCGCAATAATTTTCTTCGACTGTACTCACTTGAATGCGAACTCATCAAAACATCACTCCCCCTGACCTACTCAGAATCAAAGCTTAATCTGAGTATGAATGAGTGGGCTCATGAGTCCGTTAGCCTAGAATTAAATTTTTTCGACCATGGTGTCAAGACTCTTTAACATCAATATTTCATGTAAGCTGTGCTCTTCTTGGGACCTCTTGACATAGTACCCTTGAACATGAGTTATGAATGCACGAAAACCATCAAGACATTTGTTTTTGAGAAGAGATGACAAAATAACATATATTTCTAGACCTTCCCTTGAAAAGTGGGGGGGGCAAGGTACACCCCTATGTATTCCGTGACTGGAATCAATAATATTTAAAATGGTGTATCACCGACACTGCTTTGGAATATGTATGAGTGGATGTGAGTACAAACGTGAATTCAGACAAGGCTCATAGTAAAGCTGAAGAAGAGCGGATGGACCATTGGATGGCAAAAGAAAATAGAACTCACTCGGACTCACCCAAGAATTATATTTCGCACTTTGGACGTATTCGGACTCAAATCTCGCCAATATTTTCCTGAGCCGAACTCGCACGGATGCACTTCACGAAAATGTTCTTCAACCGGGCTCACTCGAACTCAAATTCACCAAAATGTTACTCGCCCAGACTCACTTGAACTCACGGCTCCGTCTGAGTCTGGGTCTGTGCACAATGAAACTGAAATTTCAGCAGGAGAACGCACCTGGCATTTCGTAACCTGGTATTTCGTAACAATGTTTTTTATTTGTTTGCAGCATTCGGAGTCTCAAGTTCAATGTGCAGTCTCTCAGTAACACCAAAGTTTGAAGCATACTTAATGAAGTAGCGCTACATTGTGGTAGGTCACAATCTTAAGTGCACCACACTTTAATGTATGATAAAGTATCGGCCTACCGCAGTGGAGCGCCACATCATCAAGAGTGCATAAACTTTGGTGATGCTGAGAAACTGCATGTTGAATCGTGGCCCCGCATGCGAAAAAGAATAAAAAGCATTGATGCTATGGCAGCAGCTCTGCTTAAAGCTATGATAGCAGTGATGAAGTATCATAAAAAATAGAGCGTTGTTAGCATTTTAAAATGATTTATTTGACAACATTAGAGGATTTATCATTCAGTTTTGTGATTATCAGACATAAGCGTACTGATTAGAGCACAATCGTCAGAAGAGTTCTGGCTGCTAAGGCTCTCTTACTGTGTGCTCACACATGTGCTCATTGACAAAAGAAGTATGGCAGTGTCAGCATTCAACATTCGGTTCAGCCTTAGCCATTTTTCATGGAATTATATCACTCTGTGAGATCAAGCTCATTTTATAGTGAAATTCATTATGAGATCTCAACAAGGGCTGATTCTGGCGCTTTAGTTGTCCACTGTCGTTGCTGGTGTTCACGTGAAATAAAAAAAAAATGGAATAAAGAAAGAACACTGAGGACTTAAATCCAACCCGGGGTGGTGTGGGTAGGCACCCTAGCACTTGGGACTCTGTTGCTTGAGACTCTGTTGTAAACTGACTTTATGCTGTCTTCATGTCAGGTAAGGAATCATGTTAATGTGTCTATTAAAGTGCTTCAGAACAGTAAACTGTAAATCAGCAACCAGGCATCGCACAGTGTGAATTGCATAACGAGTTGGCGGTTGAATGCTCTGACCCAGAACAAAGGCCTCGGGCAGAAATATTTCTCGTCACCACAGCATCAACAAAATGCACGTCATGACTTACAAGTGTGCAGTGGCCCGACACTTTTCTAAGAATGAAGAATAATGGCATAGTGGATGCCTGCCCCTACCAAAAAATTATGATTCATGGTGTATTGGGTGCCATGCAAGGGTACTTGTAATAGCTATCCAAGAATGTTAAAAAAACGTTCGAGAAAGGCCGCTCTTTCGACTTTCGCTGTGACCATGCTGCGCCTTCTGCCGCTGGCCTGGCGGTTACTAATGGATTTTTCACAAGGTGCAATTGCAAGTTGTGAGGTATAATTTCCAGAACATTTTATCACTTAAACTTTTTTCAGATTGGTTCATAATGAATAGAGTTTACTGTGGTACTACACTAGAAAAGCCAGTTCCAGGGGAAATTTTCTCCCCGTTTCCCGTATTGTCACTGTTTCTTCTTGTGTGAGTGTATCCTGTTTGATGATAACCTAATTAAGCTCGTGGGATCAAATACCAGCTGCCTATTTCGATGAGGTGAATTGCTTGATTAGATATATAGGTGGTCATAAAGAACTGCAGGTCGTGGAAGTTTTCAATGTTCCTCATAATCATATTGGTACTTCGAGATCTGAAACCTCGACGATTAATATACTGTTTTGATTCTAACTCCTGCTTTGTGTTTTCTTGCTGTTTGGCATCATGGCATATCTCCCGCTGTAGCATGGCATGCTCTTCATCAGACTATCATTAGCGGTCCCCTGTTGTTTGGGGACCGCTAATGACTGTGATTCAGAGTGTAGCATCAGGTGAGCTGGTGCATAGCTTAATGAAAGAATTTTGGTGCCAACTCAAAACCAGGAAAAAAAACAAGCAACCGCGAGATGCTGCAGCAGAAATTAACCAATTCTTTCAACTCAGTTGGATGTGTGGCACTCTATCTTGTCTCGCTTTTCGTTTTTCTCAGTTGGCATCTGTAATTTCTTTATTAAATGTGAATCTGGCCTTCACTTCCAAGAAACTAGCCGAGCACTGTGTTCTGTTTGAAGTTTCAACCATTTTTTCTGCGACACAAGCCATTTCACACTTTGTAGACACGATCAGGCACTGAGTAGTCGAAGAACCATGCTTTCTCATTTGCAATGCCTAAACCTACTGAGTATGCTTACTAATTCTGGCCGCGACAATCACATTTCGGTGGCAGGAAAATGCTAAAGCCCACGTGCGGTGCGATGCCAGCATGCATTACAGAAGAACAGATTGTGAATATTTTCGGGACCCTCCACTGCAGTGTCTCTCATTATCATATGGTGGTATTGGGACGGGAGACACCAGATATTCTTATTGAGCATGCCTTCTGAGTATGTCACCCATTTCTTCACTGCGGTTTTCTGTTGAAACTCCTTTGAGAACTGAAGTCATGTTATAAGAAACTGGTGTTCAATAGATAATTTTGCGACATTATCAAGCTTCAGTCAGGGTGCACAAGAGATGGTGACTTTGGTTCTCAACAAAGAACTTTTGTTTTTGAAGCTTTGCATTCCAGCCTCAGCGTCGTGACAGTTTTGAATACATTGGCAGGCATTGCTCGCACTAACAAGTCAATTACGCTTCGGTTTAATTGAAATGCCCCTTCATTTAATTTCACTTATTTTCTTTCAGGGTCTCGGGATACGTATTGGAAAACTTGGAACCAGCTTTTGTGTCACAGAACCCTCGGTGAACAGTGACATGCACTTTGTGTTTCGCCATCATGTTGCTTTTTACTCATTCAAAAAGTACATCTCTTACAGGGTGGATCTGTGCATTAATCTTCACTTTAGAGTTGCTCATGCACATTTTTTTCTAATATACTACTGAGGCAGTGTTTAGAATACACTCAAACCTTGATATAATGAACCCAGATATAATGAAAGAACTTTTATAACAAAGTAAATGAAGAATGAGTCTTGCAATATAGTGTTACGAATGAACCATTATAGCGAATTTTGAGATATAACGAACTCATTTTAGTGTAAGATGCAACTTTGTTATAATGAGATTTGAGTGTATCACAGAAACAACACAGCTTTTTTTGTGACAGCAGTAGTACTGGTAATAATACTTACAGTAGCTGCTTTCTTTTTTTCAATTTTTTCATACATGCACAGGGAAAGAGACATAAGCGAAAATTGGATTATGCATCTGACAAAGGCACTTGCTGTTTGTAACAGATACTCGCCTTGCAAACGAAAATTCACGAGCCATACAGCAGAAGTGTTTGACTTGTTGTAGAGTTTATATCTGCAAGCCAGACATTCTGGTCTATGAATGCTTCACTGTTTAAGTAACATGCTTAACTTGAGAGCCTGTCAAGTAATCTCGAAGTAGCACACTGCATGCGCTTTCATAAACTTCATCACCATGCATGTTCTTTTGTGACTTCTTTCATGACGTGTGCGGCGCACACCCTCGCCACAACCATCCCTTCAAAATAGAAGAGTAGTTTTGCTGTGCTTCCCAATTCGTTCATTCCGATAACATCTGGGACAACGGAAATAAGTGACACATTTTGGCATTGCAACAGAACACGACCTATGATTTCCAAAAGCTTGTCCAATCGTATTGCATGTTAGAACTTCTATTCGTGTGTGTACATATTTTTTTTTTCAGATTTGTCAAGCTTTCCATGATTACATGGCGTTACTGATGCCCTATTTTGTAGTATAAAACTTTTGTGCTTTCTAATGCAGTGCTTCTTTTTCTAAAATTTCTAGGTGTGTTCTGCTTACATGGAATGTCATGATAAGACCTGCTGCTTGAAAAGTTCTATTACAGTGTTTGCTGAGTTTGGCTACATTCAGTATAGCATATGTTGCTTGATTTTGATTATGTTGCATGATAAGAGAGAGCCTTGATGTTGTAATGAAATTAGTAAATAAAATCAATCTTGCAACACTGCATCATTGAGGTAACAATTGTAGCCCCGCCGCGGTGGTCTAGTGGCTAAGGTACTCGGCTGCTGACCCGCAGGGCGCGGGTTCGAATCCCGGCTGCGGCGGCTGCATTTCCGATGGAGGCGGAAATGTTGTAGGCCCGTGTGCTCAGATTTGGGTGCACGTTAAAGAACCCCAGGTGGTCTAAATTTCCGGAGCCCTCCACTACGGCGTCTCTCATAATCATATAGTGGTTTTGGGACGTTAAACCCCACATATCAATCAATCGAGGTAACAATTGTAGTATTACATCAAAGTTGAACAGCATTGGGCTTGATCAGTGGCATACTCCTATGTTATTTATTGCTGTTCGTTCTGAACATTTTGCATTCTTCTCCTCTATTGCAAACTAGTAGATGTGTAATATCTGCTTTGTTTTGGCTTTTCTTCAAAGCTGTGATTAGATTGCTCTTTTAAAGTGTTTAAATACAAATGTGCTTATAATACTTTAAGTGTAGAAGCCTTCAGATATTTAGTTTCACTATTACTTCAGGAGCTTGCTTTACTCAGCCTTTAGTGCTCTTATGAAAGCTGAACTGTCCTCCTTGAGGAATGTTCTGTCACAAATCTTATAAATAATGCATTTGTAAAACAAAAATGAATCATAAATATCTCTGTATTTCAGTTTACGCCATTGTATACAATTCCCTAAAGTGCAAATCAATTTTCGACTGGTATGTTCCTCGAATCACTACTTATGTTCTGTTTACAAACACGAAAACGCTTTCATAAGAGTATCTCGTACAAATGTGTGGTGAGAATGGAGTTTCGTGTGAACCGGCTTTTACTGCTCTGTATTGCAGGTGATCTAGACACTATAGTGCCAGATGTTATCAAGCCGCGAAGTGTGTCTCGGCGGCGTTACAAGTGCAGAGTGTGCGCTTACACGACGACCGCCGTCAGCCACCTTGAACGTCATATCAGGAAGCACACGGGCGAGCGGCCATACCAGTGCGACCACTGTTCCAAGACATTCAAGCAGCAGTGCCACCTAGTTCGGCACTTCAAGACCCTTCATACGGGCGAGCACCCGTTATCGCTTCGTGAACGGCTCAAGGTTTGTGCATGACCCTTTGACATTCTTGGAAAGACTTAAGAGACAAGCAATTCAGTAGCATATCTTGGCAAAAAGGAGCCATGGTTGAAGGTTCGTAAATTAAAACAAGTCATTTCAGTCTTGAGAAAAACAATTGTTAAGCAGTAAAAAATACTGGTGCGATGTGGCAGCCAGGTTCAGCATAACTCATTTTGATGGTTTCTGCTAGGGCCTGCACAATTATTTGCAAAACTAAGTTCTCTCTTGAAAAAAAAGCAAGAAGTCTAACGTATGTTAGGAATGTTGAACCAATCTGGGCAGAAATCATTGTCTATTCCTTGTTCATAGAAATGATTCATATGATGTAAGTGAGCTAGGGAAAACAGTGCAGAAAGGATGAGTATACAGAAATACAGTACACATTCGAACAGTAATGTGTGTACTATGTTTCTGTGTCCTCATCCTTTTTGCACTGTTTTTTCCCAGCTTAGAATGTACTGACTAATCCAATGAAAGCCCTGCACGAAAGTGAGCTGTGCTTCTATAGATGTGTAGTTGCCACTGTGTTAGGTGTTTAAAGGACACTAAAGTCAAATAACAGTTTACAACAGACTGAAAGCCCAATGTATGACGACATCTAAAACGACAATATTAACAACAGTGCCGTACTTACCGAGAAATTAAATGCACAAGAACACAAGAGCCGCAGTAGGACATTTTCAGAATGATCATAATAACATCAGGCAGACTGTATACAATTAATCACTAGTAATCCATCCAACTACACTAAATAAAAAATGTTCTTGCACTACAGATGCAATAAAGTGTTTCTTGTTTATTTCTGTTTGATTCATGGAAAAAAGAACCGCCGGACGTTACTATGGGAAATGGCGCGAGTGGTTCAAGTATTCAATTTTCGCATGGTTACACGGGACAGGTGGTGCCATCTAGCGGGGCACAGTTAAAACAAAAGCGTCTGCAATCTCTGAGCCAATGGCGAGAAATTGATCAATGGCCGTTGCTGCTGCTGTGACTCCCACTGCTTTCGCTCTGCTGCTACTAGCGCAGTAAAGCCAGGCCAGCAACAGGCATGTGAGACGGTCCGGTCGGTCCGCTTCTTGAGGCGGGTAATTTGAAGTGCACCAACCCAACGCGGAGCACTACAACGTGATTTTATTTCAAAATGGGCTCTTTCTTGGCACAAAAGTAGCACTACGAGGTTTCTGGACTGCCATTTTAACAATCAACGTCGACTTAATAGTTGACTTTAGAGTCCCTTTAAGAAATTCGATTCACACATTGTGTATTGCTGTCGGGCCGGCCAGACAGTGTTCAGCATGTATGCACCCATATGGACACCCACTGGCACATATTTGCATGGCATCTTCATCCGACTCCATGTTGTCTTTGGCAACCCGATAAGTTGTGTCGGGCTGAAATTCATTAATGCAAATAGTGCACTTTTTGTTGTGTGCCTGTAACATGTAATATATTGCACTCAAAAAAAGAGGGAATGTGTAAAAGCGTTGTTTCTCTTCTGGAATCTTGTAACACTGTCCCCTTCCCGGTACAACAAGGGTTTCAAACATGTGGGCTGCATGTGGCCCACAAAATTCTTGCTTGCCGCTTGCGGCCCGCACATGACTTTCTGCATTCTACCGTCTTTTTTCTTAATAGGGACTCTTGAGACCTCGATACCAGTCGACTACATTGTTTTTGCGAGGCTCCTCATGTGGCCACCATGTGTTAAACTCTAAACGTGAAAAAAAGAACAGTACTTCAGAATCGGCATCCAGATTTTGCCCCCTTTTTTTGGGGGGAGTTAGCGCCCCAAAACCACCATATAATTATGAGAGACGCCGTAGTGGAGGGCTCCGGAAATTTTGACCACCTGGGGTTCTTAACGTGCACCCAAATCTGAGCACACGGCAGATTTTGCCCATTTGGGAGATCAGTATCGACATTTTTTGGGATGGAAACCTGGCCATAAATTTTCAGAAACGACCCATATAGGAAATAAGGGAAAGGTTCTTCTTTCATTGGTATCCTTTGCTGACAGTGTGGGCGAACTGATCTCCTGCTTCCCTCCCCTCTTACCTTCTTCCCTGATCTCTTGCAAAACTAAACTCTGTGACTGCAGCCCTTTGCCTGAGATGAGTTTGAGACCCTTGTTATATAGAGTAGTATGTCATCAGTTATAAAAATGCCGGCAAAAATTTGTTTCTTAATAATTCCGCTCCATTGCTTCATGCTGGCACATGCCTCACTGGCCCAGCTCAGTCATGACTCTGCAGTGCTGCGCTGGGACCTCACTCTTGCAGTGTGATTCACATCACTGGCCTTAGATGGCATCTGGGAAGCACTCACTGTGCGTTCATGTGGGGTATTCTATATGCATTTCTGCAATCGTGGCCTGTGGTTCTTATACTAAAAAAATTAGTGGAGTGGGAGTACAGGTTCTCTAGTCTAGTAAAGTTTTCTTCTGGAATTTTTTTCCAAGATACCCGCATGTACTTTCATCAACGTGATATCAGTTACATAGATGATGTGCTTAATAAGTTCTTGTTGGGCCTCAGTGTAAAAAACGCTTTGTGTTGAAGCTTCACCATCAAGCATGCGAACCAGCTGCATTATTAAGCCATGTTCACATCATCCTGCGCGTCTACTTGCCATGCTCTACCTACCAGCGGACAGCTCAACCAGTGTGTCATTGGGAACACTCTTATAGTACCTACTGCCAGCACAGTTGCGAAATATTCACTACGCCATAATTCGTCATTTCACGAAGCAGCGAGGTACCTGCTACGCATTTGTCAGGCAATGCACACTTGGGGCATCCTCATAGAATCGAAGGTTGGCTAAGGATTGAGAAGGCGATGTGCTTGGTCCCAGACTATGCCATCGCACTCCACTCTCGAAGGTGGAGCTCACGTTATCATGCAAGTGTCTTGGTGTGATGTACATTTCATGCTGTGATGTACGTTTCATGCCTATGGGGAATCGGATAGCTTCCCAGCATAAGCATTTCGTACTATTTGCATTGCCTGCTTGAAGAGCTGTTTGAAGGTATGTTTGTTGGATGATTCTGAGGAGTGTAGATGGAAGAGCTAAGAGGTGACAAATGTGCACATTAAAATGCATGTAGATTTGTCATTTGAACTCAAAAAAGGTGCTACAGACTCACAGAAGCAAAAGCATTAAAAGGCAGTGTTATAAAGTAAAACAAATCTACATATGTCACTGGTCTGCAGGGGCATAGGGAGAAATGTTTCACTGAAGATGCATCAGGAATATTTATGTAATTGATGTTACTATAGAAGTTAGAAGGTGCCTTTATCTCCACATCTCTAATGCGAGTGTTAATTAGTACAACAAACTAACTGTTTACTTACACTTTCCCTTGCTTCATTTAGGTTCGCTATCATGACTGGGCGGTCTGAGCAGACCGTATGGCATCATCCCATTTACAAGAACTGAAATCTGGGCGAGCTGGTATCAATTGCATACTGGAGCAAGTATTGAAAAAAAACTTACACAAGCGAGAAACTGAGACGCGATACATGTGCGAATGCCTATCTTGCATTTGTTTTTTGTGTTTGTTTCTTGTGATATCTTCTCCAGCATGCAATGATCCTGTGTGGGAGCGTAATCACCTTGATGCGTGGGAAGTGTGAACCCATTGAAGCCTGTAAGGGATTCAGTCTAACACGAAGCTTTTATGGCAGCATACGTACAAGTCGCCATGTTTTCAAAGCCATTACAGTACAGCAACAGAAAGCTGCACAATGTAAAACTGCGAGGCCAGAGTTTCCATGAGATCTACCTATGGTGGTCGGAAAATCCTATCTGAGTGCCTATTTGTGTCCTAGTCGGGACCATTTACTAAGAAGTCTTTTTTTTTAGAAACGACTTGCTTTCTAGCTTTGTGTATGTACTGTGGCAAGTGTGTTTTCGATGATAAAGCATAAAGATACTGAGTATCTTCTAATCTTTTGTTACTGTACTCACCAGCCAAGGCAATTACAATTCTAAATTTCTTGCCTAACTCTATACCTCTTTAATGGTTTGCATGCAGTATTGTCTTGATGCTTTGTCATTAGTCACTTCTCATGTTTAAATTTTTAGTTCAACTTGGTATCATACAGGGTGCCCCAGCTAACAGTAATCACTCTAGTCACAAATCACGGCATTTGAATGGTTATGTCAGATGATAGTTTTTGGTATTTCGCCAGCATCTGTACTAGTCAGCAGTGAAGCACTAATACTTAATATATAGGAAGTATGGATTTCTTACATCGGATATTTTGCAAACTGATCTACAACTGTCTCATGAAATTTTTGCTGAGCCTCATTATTTAAACAATTTAATAATAAATCTTGCCTCATTAATAAATTAAGCAGAGCATAAAAGATAGTGACTTCCTCCATGCAATAGTAGGCAAAATGCATTTGGTTGCATCATTATAGAGCGTGCCGACATATATTAAAATTGGCTATGGTTGACTAGGGCACCCCGTGTATTACCGTATTTACTCGATTATAACGCGCACCCGATTTCCACCGCGAAAAAAAAAAACGTAAGACATCAATTGCAACGCGCACCCATTTTTCTCGCCGGCCCGCACGATCACACCACTCGAAAAAACTACTCCTTTCGGGAGCGTATTCTATTTAAATATGAGGTACGGGCGAAGCTTGTGCCCATCTGACGTGTAACAGAGCTTTCCGTCACGGTAGTTTTACCGTGGACCGATGTCAGCACGCGAACTTGCTTCGCCCCCTTCTTCTCGACGGTTGTGGTGCCAGGCATGTCGAAGTAAAGAGGCGTCTGATGGGCATTCCCGATTTGCCCAAGCAGGTAGCCGTTGTTGCGCCGCGAGTTTAGGACGAACCTCTGAAAACTGTGAAGCTTTTCATCGTACTCCTCCGCAAAACTTTTCGCATATCCATGTTCCCCTTCGGAGGGAAAAGCCTTTCCTCTAAATAAAGTTAGTTAGCCAGCACCCGCTCGCTTTAAACTGGCTCTGCATTAGACCTTTTTCCAAGACTAATTGCATAGCCCGCACTTGGAGCAGTTTTGTCGTCACGGGCCGCTGTGCCGCTCGCTGCTCAAGCACATACTTGCCGAGCAGCTCTTTAATTTGCGCAAACCGACCCTGCTGTGGTCCACTGAAGCCTTTGCTGTCGAGAATCTTCTGCTTTTGTTTCCGCCGGTCCCGCACGCACGTTTCGGGAACTCCGAACGACCGCGATGCAGCCCGATTTCCGTCCGTTTCTGCACACGCCATGACTTTTCATTTAAAAGCGGTCGTGGTGCTATCGAGTTTTTGGAGTCGGCCCTTCCACGCCGTCGATGCTAATGCACTACTAGATGACGAACTCCTTAGCACACGTACGAAGTGCCGCACATGGGAAACACATAAACAGAAATGGCCGACCCGCCATGCCGACGCACGTAGGGGGTGGCCATTTTGGATTTGCCGATGGCAATAGATTGACCGTAATTTTTTTGTTCGTGCTCGATTCTAACGCGCATGCAATTTATAAACTCGCTTAACCAGAAAAAAGGTGCGCGTTATATTCGAGTAATTACGGTAAGTCGCAGGTCAAGCATGCAGTGGTGAGTGCTTCTCTACTGGAGAAGGTACATGCGAGCCAAAAAAATGCCTTGATTGCTGACATTCCCGTCTCTCCATATATGTACGTTGTTTCCTTATCAGTGTTCCTATTTTGCTCGGGCACTTTCCTGATATGGTCAGCTGCAAATAACACCCACAGGAACGGGATGAACTCCCGAACTTGGTCATGCCAGTGGTGCACAACCGACACAAACTTTGTAGGTGTTGTTAACGTTTTCTATTTAATTTATCGGTGGCCTGTTTGTGCTGTGAGCTAACTTGTTCCACACACTTTTCAACTTTTGCAAATTGTGAATGTGATTTATTTAAAAAATCATGAAGCTTTCTCATTTTTTTACTAGATAATCGTTTTTTTACTCGTTTAGAGGTATCCTTGAAGGGTTTTATTTGCCAACCTGTCGAGTGGTTTACTGCCGTATTTACTCAAGTTGATTACAAAATTGAACTGTTCTAACTGAATATTCAGAATCCCAAACAGTATTTGTTCACTATTTGAAATTATCCTGCTGTGTTGTATAACCCCTTCAGGCGCAGCGTCCACATTTGTGGACGCCAACTTCACAGCTCAATATCTCGAAATTTACTTTGAATCTCGCGCGCAACCAGTGCTCTCTCTATCACTACATGTTGCTGCAGCGACCCGTGGCGCCATCTGCCGCAGCTGACACAAAATAACTACAAAAACAACTCTCAAAGATGGACGCCTCCACGTTTTACGGCGGCGCACGTAAGTGGCTCTCACTTTTCAAGCCCTTGCTATGTTTCATTCGAGGTGGCATGAAATTATGCACTTGTCAGTAAGAGCTAAGAGATACCTCATGCCAATAAACAAGACTTTTGCAACTAGAAACTATTTATAACGTCAAAAAGGGTGCGTAAAATACCGCGTCCACGATCGTGGACATTGCGCCTTAGTGCTGCCTTTGTTGCAGGGCAGCCATTTCGCACCGTGTGCGCAGATATGATGGTTATGTGTGATTTTTTGTCTCCAGGACTTGAAGATCATGCTTCAAAACGTCAGAAAGTTGATGATGCGACAGCAGAAGAAATCCTCATGAGAATATCAAATGGAGATATCTCAGATGGCGACTTTTCAGATGACGAATTGGAAGCAGAAAATGAAGAAAACATAGTAAGTTTGCTCGAGATTGTGAGACATTATTTTGTGTTCTCGGGAAACATATGGCACCAAACTGTCTAAAGGTACTTTGACCCTAATTTACGCTGTTTGTTTCAGCCTGCCAATGGTCAGGTGACCGCATCCACGACCACAGCTGCACTGCCTGCACGACCAGACGCCACGGTCAGCTCGAACGCACCTGCGGCATCTACGAAGGCTGAGTTCAAATGGGTGAAGAAAGATTTTGCTCCAAGTGATGTTGACTGCCACTACAATCCTGAAGTAGCCTCGACATGCCAGCAGCCACTTGTGTATTTTAGCAAGTATTTCACCGAACAGATATTTGAAGACCTTGCTGAATTCACAAACAGGTATGTCCTGCAAAGAGACGGTGCCGTATTAGCCACTACAAAAGAAGAGATCAAAATATTTTTTGGAATGCTCATGCTGATGGGTGTTCTGAAATACCCACGCGTCAGAATGTATTGGCAAACTGCAACGAGGATTCCCGCAATAGCCGATTCGATGGGCGTGAAGCGATTCTTCAAAATCAGAGGCGCTCTCCACATAAGCGACGCTAATGAAGAACGGGACCCGAACAGCCAAGACAAATTTTGGAAAGTTAGGCCGTTGCTAGAAGCTGTCAGAAGCCGCTGCTTACAGCTTGTTCCCTTGGAACAGAATAGCATCGATGAACAGATGGTGCCGTTCACAGGACGCATTGCTGCAAAGCAATTTGTGAAAGGAAAACCGAACCCAGAAGGCGTGAAGGTTTTTGTACGCTGCAGTTTTGACGGTCTTGCACATGACTTTGAGTTTTACCAAGGGAAGGGAACGGGAGTGAGCAAAGAACATGCACATCTTGGCCTTGGTGGCTCCGTCGTAATGCGCCTTGTTGAAAGCCTCCCGAAGGCACAGAACATCAAGTGCTACATGGACAATTATTTTACGTCCGTGAAGCTCTTTCTTGAGTTAAAAAAGATCGGCATTTTGGCTAGTGGCACAATTAGGGGAAACCGCTTGGCAGGATGCGTCATGAAAACAGACAAGGAAATGAAGAAAGAAGGACGGGGAAGCTATGATGAGCGGGTTTCCCAGAACGACGAAGTTGTCCTTGTTCGTTGGCAAGACAACGGGACCGTCAACATGGCTTCTACCCACCTTGGAGTTGGAAATATTGGCACCGTGAGAAGATGGAGCGAATCCCAAAAGGTCCACGTTGACATTGACTGTCCAGAGGTAGTCCTGGACTACAACAAATACATGGGTGGAGTAGACAAACTAGACTTCATCATGTCCCTCTACCCAATGCGGACGCGAACGAAAAAGTGGCCTGTGAGAGTGATTTCCCATTTTGCATCTTTTGCGCTCTCCAACAGTTGGCTTGAATACTTAAGGGATGCCAATAAAGCAGGGCTACTAAGAAAAGAGACACTGGACATGATGGCGTTCCAAACAGACGTCGCGAATTGCCTGCTGAACAGCAATAAGCCACAAAAGAAGCGTGGACGTCCGAGCAATGACAACTCCCGAACAGTGAAAAAGAAGGTACCCAATGCTTCACCACTACCAGTCAGCACTGTTCGCTATGATGGGATTAATCATTGGCCGCAGCAAGTAAACATGGCTAACGCACAACGCTGCCGGAGAGAGGAATGCACATCCAAAAGCCGTGTCCGCTGCAGGAAATGCAACATTTTCCTTTGTCTGACATCTCAGAACGACTGTTTTTATTTGTTTCATACCAAATAGACTCTTTCTGATTATTTTTGCGGAAAAGACTTCCTAAGCAGTGTTCCTGCAATGATTATTTGCGAGCCTCCGAAATAAAGCGTTTGTTTTCTTCTTCTCCACCGTTCATGGGTATTGCAACAAGGAAAGCGAGATGTAAAATATGTATTTACTAGAGCCTATACAACAGGCAGTATGGCGAAAAACCCACGCACAAGCCATGGCGCACCTTCGTCGTCTTCCTTTCCCTGCGTCTTCGTGCGCGCGCTTGGGTAACGGTCACGTGACAATATGACTGCTTTGAGGCGCAATGTCCACATATGTGGACGCCATTGAAAAATTGAACCAATGAATTTTTTTCTGAATTTCTTGTGGATTCCTTCTTTAATAGCGTTATGTATTCATAATCTGAACAAAATTTTTTTTTCGCTACGTCAGATTTAATTCGCGCCTGAAGGGGATAAAGTGACATGTAATGCAGCCTCAAAGGCTTCACCCACACTGGCTACTTCATCAATTAGAATAGGGAAGGAATGGCTTTGTTGTTGCACAGAGTAGTGTCTCTTCCTAGTTCCCTGTGCATTGTCATATGCATATGGACTTGAACAAGTTAGCAATCTGGAAAAACTTGCTGTGATGAGAGCTTTACAACAGCAGCCATTATACTTGTGGTCGGTTGTACAGTATTTATTTTTATTGTGTTTTGCAATTGTGCTAAGTTATTCATACTCTATCATATTTGAAGTGCATTCAACAGGTGTTATGCTGGCTGTGAAGTTCTATATTGGTTATGTTTTCGAAGGTGAATCTCATTGTTCCTAACAGATTTGTTGTTTAATTGTTTACTGAACTGTAATTATGAATGTGTAGATCTCGCAACCTAATGCTTCAGCATAAATTTTGTGGTAACTTTATCCTCAGCGTGCGTCTGCTCGACCTTCCTGCCTTTTCTTCCTTTTCTTCTTCCTCCCTTCTTTATCCTCAACACTTAAATTTCACCTAATGTGCAACAAAATACAATTTTTACACTGTACACTAACCACCATGAGTTTCACTCTGTTGAAGCAATAAAATTTTGTGGCTTGGCTCACATTCGCTGCCTTGTAATATTTGTGTTATGATGATCTGTCCCTGTCAGTACTCATAAAAATCTTGCAGCCTCCAACAATTAAAGGAGCCCTGCAACACTTCTTTCAAGTAGCCATGGAACTTACTTAATGAAGAAACTTATTGCTTCATGAATTCACCGGCCAAAAAAAGTTTTAGAATCCGTCCATTATGAGCAAATCACAGAGATTTGTTTCACGTTGCGATTGAATTCTCTCTTCTCTCGTCCCTACGAAAGTGCTGGGAGAGAGTGTGAAACGTTTATTGTAATTTTCTGTGCAAGTAGATACGTGACTAGGGTCCTTAGTCTAGGATTCCATTGGCATGGGCCGCTGTCCTCGCACGTTTCAAAAAGGCCTCTTGGCTCTTCAGATCCCAGCTAGACAGAGCAGCCTCTCACCCTTCTATGTTGTGTTGCGTCCTGGGTTGCAAAGGGGAATGATTGTGCAGACACTCCCATACCATGAGGTACAGGGTAGCTGTTTTATCGGTGCTGAACCTGCACTGTGGTGTGTATGTGTCGGGTTCTATTTTGACAGTATGTACAGATTGTGGTGGGACAGGGTCTGTAAGCGACGCCATGCTACCTGTGATCCCTTACTGAGTTTTGTTTGGCCCAGTAGGTAGAAGTTTCTGTTGTTCGAGTTTTTGGTGTTGCAGAATTTTTGTATACGTGAGAAGCGGGTCCATACGCAGAGCTCAGGATGGATGTGATATGGCAGGGACGGAGATCCGGAAGAGTAATTTTTGGGTCGAGGAATCAGGGAGCTCATTGCCTCTAACTACGCCATGGCCGGGTATCCATATCAGCCGTTTCCAGTCTCCTTCTGAACGTAGGGCGCATAGCTGGATAAGGACTTGGTGCGCGATGGGGCCACTGTACCCTTTACAGAAATTTTGGTAGGCTGCTTGTGAATCTGTGAGAATGAAGGCGGACTCTGGGTTTCGTAGAGCGAAAGCGATTTCTGCTTCTTCCATACTAGTTGTGTTTGTGTCCTGTGTTGATATACAGACTATCTGTTTTCCTTGATGAATGGCGGTTGCTGTGTATTTGCTGTTCACTGGTCCAGCTGCATCGGCAAAGAAGGCACTCTCAGTGTTCGAGTACTTGTCGTGTACCCCGTGCCCGACGTCGATGTTCGTGAAACTCTGGATGCACATTGCGGGATAGTGGTTTCATGATGAAGTCCTGCCCCCATTCATGTAGGATACTTTGTTTCCTCTTCTCTGGATGGGGTCTTCGATGTCAAGCTCTGATAATGTCACGCGCGCCTCGTGACCTTGAGTACTTTTTTCGCGCTTTAAAGGCGGAGCATTTCTCAGTCGCGCTTCGGCGTCGGTGGCGATGCCGTCTACACCCCCACTGCGCAAGCTCGCGGCTCGTGCCGGCCCAGGAAGACACCCGCAAAACTGTCGCTCCCCTGCTGCTCTCGCCTCGCAAGGCTGATACAGGCAGCATCTGCTGGTAAAAGGAAAAAAATTGGCAGCATATCCACGGAGTGAATGATGGAGAGCGGGGCGAAGCATTCGTCCGTTTATTCGTTCTTGCTTCCATCCGTCCATGCATCCGTCTGTGTGACCGTCCATGCGTACATTCGCCCAGTCTGTGTGTGCGTTTGTTTGTGGTCCGTTCCTGCGTCCGTTCATGCGTCCATCCATGGATCTGTCTGTGTATCCGTTCTTCCATCTATTCAACACTCCAAGTACCACCATCTCGCATCTTTTCATCATATATTCCCCATATAGAAGCACCGCCATCCAGCGGACATTCCGAGGACTAAACGAGAGGTGAACACATGCACACGGCTTGCGCTTCGGGTCTACTTTCCACCTTTACGGCTTGCGCTTCGGGTCTACTTCCCATCTTTAACCATCTCGAGTTCATGGTATATACTAGTTCATTGTATTCATGGCACTGCGGCCCAACGCTCGCTAAACCTTTCTAAAACCAAGGAGGTTACGCCCAGCGAGTATAACGTAGCAATCATTTCCTGTCGGATAGTGCTCAATGTACATGCCAATGGCTGCTGATGGGAAATAAGAGACAGGAGAATTCGGCTTTTACTTTCTTACGGCTTGCGCTTTGTATCTACTTCCCACCTTTAACCACCTCGAGTTCATTCACTGATATATACTAGTTCATTGTATTCATGGCACTGTGGCTCAACGCTCGCTAAACCTCTCTAAAACTAAGGAGGTTACACCCAGCGAGTATAGCGTAGCAACCCTTTCTTGTCAGATAGTAAAAAATAGTGCTCAAGTAAAAAAAATAGTGCTCAAGTAGTAAAAATAGTGCTCAATGTACATGCCAATGGCTGCTAACGGGGATCATAGCGTGCGCGTTAACTAAAAGCCGAATGCTCCTGTCTCTCATTCCCCATTAGCAGCCATTGACATGTACATTGAGCACTATTTTTTATTGTTCAACAACGCACAGAAAAAATCTTTCACCGGCACCACCTTGGAGGTCAAAATGTTATACTTGTTACATACTACAACGGCTACGAGGGACGAACGGGTTCCGCTACAAGGAGCTTCGCCCCTAAAATCATGAACCATCTGCCCGAAAGGAACCCTGATGGATTGCGAAGCTGCAGTGGTGCGCACGGCGTTGGCCCGGTTGAAACGAGAGTCGACGCGGGTGCTGGAAGAAAGATATGAAGCGAAACTCTGTGTAGCATTTACTCGAGTAAATGTTTGTTTGAAACACAAAGACCAGGGAGGCGGGTTGGGTTTCGTGTAAGTTTTATTCGAAGATAAACAAGCCGAAAGAGTAGACAGATTCAGTCACGCGTCTGCAGTAGCCGTATGGGCGCAACTTGCTAGCCATTTGCAATGGCAGGCTGTGTCCGTATGTCTGCTGTGAACGCGCAACTAAATCTGTCTAGTGTTTCCACTCGACGTGTGGTCGAGCGTTGTGGAGGGTAGAGAGGGTGAAGCGAGAGATAAGTGTGTTGTGAGCGTGTGAAGGAGCCGGCAGCTGCTGCTGTAAGGAAGAGTGACGTCAACGCGCAGCTGCAACTTGACCTACTTGGTACCGCTCCAACAGCTGCGGTGAGGGAGTTAGTGTGGGCTTATGGGACAGTGTTACACAGAGTAGTCAAAGAGCAGCATCGCATCTAAAAACGACCTGCTCGGGCTGCAGAACCGGTCACTGGTCACCCCGTTATGTAGGGACTGGATCGCGCATTCGTAAATAAGTCAAGTGCGTCTTTACTTGGCATTCGCTTGGCGTTGAAGGTAACGCTTCTCTTTCATTCAATAAATAAGAATAATAAAGACGAAATAAGAAATAAGCATTCCCGAACCACAACCAATCACGCAACGTTCACGCGATGTCCCACCACTCTGCGACGCATTTACTCGAGTTGCCCCGGTAAACTTCATTCCCACCGTTAGGATATTGCCACGTTCCATTTCCCAAGTTTTGTTATCGTCCGAAAACACTACACAATTCTGAACGCAAACCGCGCCTGCAGTTTTCGAGAAGCTTCCGGACTGTAGTAGATCATTTCGATAAGATCACGCCCACTCTGCGAACTGAACAGATTATTCTGGAACCTACCCGCCGCCAGCGATAACGCTAGAACATGCGATAGCAAGAGTATAAATGCGGACGCGCTTCGCCGCTTGTCAGTTGTTGATCGACGGCCGACGCTCCGTTCGCCGCTATCAGTCCAAGACTGCTACTGTAGTCCGATTTTCTGTTTACCACAGGTTCGCCCAAATAAACAATTGATTATTCGACTCGCAATGTGCTCCATTCGTCCACGTCATGACCCACGTGACATCTGGTGGAGGTGCTGTTTCTTTCATGTACCGGACGCCTCCGTCAAGCCGTGAACGCAGCCCGCGCCGTGAAGACACCGACGCCAGCAACGAGCAGCGAATTAGCCGCAGGCTACAAGGTCTGCCACCGGAGTACGGGCTTTTACTGGACGAGGCTCAGAAAACCAAGACGTTGACGTCGACCACGGCGACCATGTCAACGCCCGTTCCACCTGCACCACTCCTGCTCCGGCAACCCGAAGAGCCGCTAACTTCCCGCGGTTCGCCACTGGAAGACCCGGAAAGCTGAATCGAAAGGTTCGACCGCGTCGTCGCCTTCAATGACTGGACAGACGACGACACGCTCCGGCATGTGTATTTCGCCTTAGAAGATGCTACTCGGACCTGGTTCGAGAATCAAGAGCGAAGCCTTACAACATGGGACGTTTTTTGCGCCAGGTTCCTCACCACTTTCGCAAGTGTGGTGCGCAAGGAGAAGGCCGCAGCTCTCCTCGAAACCCGCATGCAGATGCCAAATGAAAACGTGGCGCTATTCACGGAAGATATGATTAAATTCT